ACTTCCTCAGAAGCACTTGAGGGCTGTGAATTGACAAGTACCTAAAACCGTAGAGCACTGCAAGTGTATATTCCAGCTAGGTATCTGGGTGATGTAGGCAAAGCAAGATTGCGCAAAACTTTCTTGGTTTCACTTTTGTTGAACCTCTTAATATTGACCCTAGGATATTTGACAAACCAAAGAAAGTCCTAAGCAACCTCTCCTTGAAGCTGTCTTGCTCTTGCAAAGCCATTAAGCCAGACCTAAGTAAAGCATGTATCAATAATTGACAGTTACGGCACTAACCCACATTAGCATGACAATCAGAATCATCACTAACTTTCTATTACCTCGGCTCCTTAATGGTCTGCCTCCTCTAAGGCATCAACACTGGACTTAAAATTGCACCTCCTTACAGATGCATGACATTCAAATGCAAAGTTCATGAAAAAACCACAGTCAAGGTTTTTATTGCAGAGTTTCCTCATCTAGGCTCGTAAGAATAATTATGAACAGATTGCATTTCAATTCCTAGGTCTTTATCTTTCTCGTAATCTCTACTGTATCAACCAAGCTACATAAAATAGGAATTGTAACAGAGGCCTCTCCAAACTTGTAGCATTGACTGATAAAAGCCACTGAGTCGTAAACATGAGGACATAATTGGATGAAATAAATTAAAGTTTTCCAGTAGAATTATATTTCATCGTGGCGCTCTAAATATTAAACCAGCCACATAATTTTCAAGATGTCTCAGACAACATTTACAGAGAGTAAGTTATGAACTTGAGATGACATGCTAATTAATTTATGAAGTTGAGAAGACATACTAAATTGTCTCCTACAATTACTCACCCAAATGTTGAATAACAGACACAAAGCTCCCCCAACATGAATCTGGTGATATAATTGGACCAAACCTATTCCAGTTGATTTGGAGAAAAGCAACAATAACTGCCAAAAGGTGTAATGCCAAAAAGTAAATTGCTGAGGGATTTTTCCAGGAGTGGACTCTGCATACACACCAGACGTGAAGAATGTCAGAAAAACCAGACGTGATTCATTGAAAGAACAACACACTAAAAATAAACTCTCACGTCAGGAATCCAAAAAGCTTAGCCCATGAAGCATCCGCTTCGCTCCATCGTCCCCCATGAATAGCCCATACGATAAGAAATAGTGATTCACAGAGCATTACAAGTATGGAAAACACGATGATGGACCACAGCAACCAGGGAGGCCCATGACGACGAAAGCCTACAAGTAAAACAAATGCCATGTTTGTACACGTAAAAATTCCAAATAAAGCAACAGGTGGAAACTATTGCAACAAACTCATTAAGAATTAAACAGGATAACAGTAACAAAATTACTGAGAAACAAACATGACAACAACATTACGATGCAAAATTTTTGCTGTGAAGTGGAAAAACACTATGGGAGATTATAAGAAATCATTTTCCATTAGCATGTGATAAAGAAATTTATGCACCATATGGATTTTGCAGTTGTGGTTTCTCATTCAAGAGCATCTCTTTCCTTCAAATGTCCAATTCACAAAATAAACCCATTAAACATGGAAGAGGAAGGAGGAGAAGATTGCTCAATCAGGAAAAAGGACTCACGTCATAAGAGACAGAAGAAATGTAGCTTACCCAATTTCGACACGTTAAACTGAAACATGAGGAATGCAATCAAATCTGCCAGACAAATCAAACTCCAGTTGATTAAAGAAGCTGCACCACATGAAGTTGATAATATTAATATGGCATAATAAGCAAGCAACCATGCCATACTGTAAGCTTCAAAAGGGAGAGTAATCATGAACAACTTTGCAAAGGATAGAAAAGGAAAAAACAGGAAACAAAAGGACCTGTTTCTCTATTAGCAACAAATGAAAACGACCAGGGAACTTAATCAGCAAATTGATTAGGGAAAAATCCACTATTAGTTGAAAAAAGAAATAGAGAGAGAGAGAGAGAGAGAGAGAGAGAGAGAGAGAGAGAGAGGGAATCTTAAAATTCACATGCATATGTTAGTAGGTATGCTTTCATTCTGATTAGCAAGTTTCACTGTTGCAAGGAGAGCCTATTGTTGGTGATACCCTGAAACTAAATCATTAATTTTAACAGACATCCTAGTGGTGGATCAATGAGGCAAATCCCTGGAAAATCATTTGTTGACAGCTAAAAGATAGCCCAAACAACAGGCAGCTATATCTGTAATTCAGCCCAAACAACAGACTCAATGGTAGTTTCCAGTGGCAACTCCTGATCATCTTTCGGCCAGTGTCAAGAAATGAAACTGAAGAGCATTAGAGGGATTAAACTCATTACAGCCATAGAGAAAGAAGACCATTTATCTTGTCCCTAGTGAGCATTTCCACTCAAACAAGGACGAGATTATTTCTATCCGAGCATAGATGGCACGATTCCTCTAAACTGAACTTCTTTTCATTTGTACATGACAAAATTGCGCCAGCAAAACAAGTACCTCGTTCAGAAAACGCTAACGTTTAACCTACATCCAGTCCACAAAGCTAAAACTGTAATTACAGCAAACACATGATAAGCCTACTTTAGAGACAAAACAGAATGTTGTACAGAAAAGCCAATAGCAACGGGCCTACACAAGAAGTTGCATAAACTTGCGAAAAGCCCGCATTAAAATTCTACAAAATAGCTTGCCAGAAAGGCACAATGAAAGAACAACATTCACAGTATCTCCAACTTCCCCCGATGTTCTAGCTAGTACGTACATTAAACAAAATCGCACTGAAGACAAAGGACCTTCGGCACAAATGGACAGAACTCCTACCTGCCAAAAGCAGCAGAGGCAACAAGACTCCAGAAATGAAGCTCCCCATTGAAATTTGCTTCCCCCCTTTTAACTTGCGACCAAACGCCTTCCTTATACCGTGTTCCGCGAATTCCAACAATTCGGGATTTCGATCTCAACCTATATCACGAAAACCCATTTCATGGAAACTCCTGATTGTGATCCAGCAACAGCAATTCCAATCCCAGAAAGTGGAGCTCCGTTCGTCCTCTGCTCGGGACAGAAACCACATTCCAAGAAAAGGAGAAAACAGGAACAAGAACCACCTTCGTCAGTTTCCCAGATAAATGGGTGAAAAAAAAAAATCAGAACTTGACGTTGCTTGTCAGAATGCAACCCCCGAGAAAAATTCCTCCGAGGGAAAAGAAACATGCGCAACTACCAGTCTCAACCAGAAGTCTACCATACCCGTTTGTTAGATTGCATGAAAACGATGATTAGTGTCGGAGTGACAGAGATTTGCAAGAGAATCTGCGTACCCGGAGCTACGAAGCATGGGGATTTCGGCAAAATTCTTGATTCTTGGTCCTGCTCCTGTTGTGATCTGATTGCATGTGGAGCTTTTCGAAATTGGGTTGTGAAAAATCAGATTGGAAAAGCTAAAAAAGCAACGATTTTTGCTGTAAAGCTGTGGGTTTTCGGCCCAGCGCATGGGATTTGTTGAAGGTGGTGTGGTGGTGCCTTGGGAAGTTAAACTGGAATGTTGTTGCTGTGAAGGTTAAAAATAAAGCTGCGCTTTTTAAGGGAGGGCATTATTGTCAACTTCAAAGTTTATATATATATAAATATATAAAATATTTTGGTCAATATATATATATATATATATATATATATATATATATATATAAATGATATTTATTGAGTGTGGCAATTCCCCAATCCACACATGCCAAGAAACTTCCTAGGCAAAAAGTGCATCTGTGGCGGTACGTAGAGGTGTGCACATGCCCCGGTTCGACCCGAGAACTGACTTAGACCGACCGATCCCAAGGCGATTCTTCGAAACAAAGCTGAGATCGACATGGACCACTTTGGTTTCGTGTTTAAGGTGATCAGGCAGGTTCTCAAATAAAATCATTTTCTAACTAGATATGCTCTTGTTTGAAGGGAGCAAATATTTATTTTTATCTATCGTGGAGACTTGATTAGATATTTTGTTCTAAGTGGAAGGATTTGATTAGAAAAATTGAAGTACATGGACTTTTTAACTAAGAAATTATTGAAAGCTTGAGAATTAAGAATGAATTTTTTTCCCAAGCCAAAGCATCAATTCCTTCATAGAACACGACAATCTCTTCTTCAATTCTCATATTATAGGACGCCTCCCATTGCGTCTCTGTATCATCTCATGGCCATCCCCAATTACCAGAAATGCTTGTCCCCTCTTGTCTCTCGTGGGTCCACCCAAGAACCGGTTCAGTTCCAAACCGGGTCTTTGGTTTCTAGTTCCACAAACTTAGATCCGATCTTGACCTGATTAAGAGCTCATTAGATTAAAGTGTCAAAAACTGAAGAACTCATTAAAATGAGGACCCAAATCTGTGCTACTTGCATGTTATTTATGATTCCTTAGAGAATCGGATCGCTGCTTTTACTTCTTGTGCACATGAATTCAGCCAAAGTCAAACCAAATGCGAAAAGAAAAGGGAAAAAATTCCTTCGCTCTCAATGACGATGTCTCATTCATCTTTGAGTCGGCTCGTTTCCATTTGAATTTGGAGTATTATTGAATCTCGCATTGTGTCACAAGTTGCAAAAAATGAAGAACAAGGTCACAATTTATATCCATTTAAGAAATCGCTGGAATTCCCAAAAGTAATACATTCTTGGAGACCGTATATTCTTATTCTTGATTAACGATAATTACAGTATTAGGTAGCCCCGTCGTATATGTAATCCCGCCCAGATACGTGCCATTTAGTCAATCAACCCAAAAAACAAAGAAGAGGGTCCAAATAAACATTAGAGCTTGTTACGACGCCACATTGAAATATTGATTCAGTACACATGAACGATCAACTAGGCCGTGTCGATCACAACGGTTGACTTTGAAAGGTCTCGCGTGGGCCCCACATGCGGGGGGGACCCATGGAAGCTAACGGTTTTTCTATGACACCGGTCTAGTGAAACCTGCGTACAGGTGACAAAAGAAGCTCGAGAACCGATGACTGATGAAAAGAGAGAGCCATTCCCTTTCCTCTGTCCAAAATCCTTTTTGGATCCGAAGCGCTGCAGAGTGCGCCAAGAATCGAGAAGAGAGACCGTCGGACAAATGGCCGGACTCCGACGCCACTCCGTCCTCGCCGTCGTCGTCCTCCTCCCTCTGCTCCTCTCCGCAACCTCCGACGCTGCACACTGCTCAACATCCGCTCAAGGTTCGGCCTTTGCCTCTTGCCATCTTAAGGAAAAAGAGCAACCTTTCTTGCTCCCGTCATTTCTTTGTTGGTTCAATGTTGTCTTCGGAGCTTTCTCTGTAGTCCGGAGTCCATCTTTGCTGGAGATTTTAGGTCCCTTTTGTCTATGGTTGACGACGCTTGAGAGGGGGTGCTTAGATATGGGCTGGTTTCTTTTCTTTTCCAGTGGGGGCACTTGTCTTTTTTTCCTCATGCTGGGAATCGATGGTTTGAGGAACTGGGAGTAAGGTTGGTGAGTTGGGGATGTTCAAGTTGCTTTCGTTTCATATGACAGTTCCTGATTTCTGCAGAAATGCGATTTCCCAGTTATTGAAATTGGCTATTGGGCATCGGTTTCTTCTTTCTTTATTGACCATCTCATTCAACTGATGTGGACTTTATACTTGGTAGTGTGTCTTGGGTTAGCAGCAGAGCGACGGTGTTGAAGGACTGTGTTTGATGTAGTGTAGAATGTTAGGTAATTTGCTGCGGTTCTATTTATTGCCCGAGGAGTCGGAGATTTAGAAGAAAAAACAAATGCGACAAAGGGTTACGCACCACCGAAGGAGTCCACGCTAGAATAGAGGGCATGTAATTCGCCGCACAATGGAATTTACCAAAGAGATACAGAGCTTTAGTGATACTCTAATACAAGAGATCATATCTGAAATTTCATTAATAAAAACACTCCAACCCTTAAGAAAGCGTTAGAGGGGTTTATATAGACTCAACTTGGAACGTCCTTCCAAGAAGACAAATACCAAGGCACCTTATCTTTTATTTTCCAAGACAAGACCAACAATCCCCAGACAAAGCATAAATATGAAGCTTAATTTTCTACTTAAGATGACTCCAGGAACTAAATAATATGCATAGGACCCAAGAAATTCATAAAATTACTAAAAGACTCATTGTCGGGGTAGCTCATAGAAATTTGAGCATAACTTCCTCCAGAATACTCAAAATTGCATGAAACTTGATGCATTAAAAGCTAGACATATAGGGCTTTCCAACCAAATATTGCGGGACCAGTTTGGAGCAAGAAATCCTCATTAAAATGTACAAGAAAGTGAATCTTAAAATTCTGCCTGCAGAATTGAACATTGCAGCCTCCAAGCACTTTTGTATTAAGTGTTGGATAAGGCTAAAAAACTCTTGAGGTGACTCTTCATTCTATGCTTCTACCTACTTTGTAGTAATTGGTAAATGAAATTGTTTTTCTGTTTCATCATTTGGCTTCTATTGCAAAGTCGCTGGCAAATTCTGAGTCAAAATTCAACATTTTTAATCAAGTATGAGTGTCCTGGCCAGCTATTTTCTAGTACTTCCTTCCTTTCATACTTTAAATTTTTCTTTGGAGAAAATCAAAGTGGTGATTCATTTTTGGTGCAGGTTCATCACTAGTGAGGAACATCAGTGAGCTACCACAAGATAACTATGGAAGGGAAGGTTTATCTCACATAACTGTTGCAGGTTCGTTCATGCATGGGATGAAAGAGGTACCCTTCTCAAGGGTTTTATTCTTGGCGGATATCTTCTGGATGCAGTTTTTTGTTCCACCATTTATTATAAGTCAGTGAAGGGCTTTAGAAGACCATGACCACACTGCAAGAGCTTAATGACTTGACAAGTGCTAGCTTTGTGAAAGGCAGGGATGATGGTCAAATAGATAGCTTTCAATTTGTAATTTTTCTGAAACTTCCTTAGAGCATGCTCATATCTTTATACAGAAAAAATAATGTTTAACCACTAGATGATGGGGGCATACTTGCCCTACTGCCATCGTACGATACTATGCTTTGGGTATTGTAAGAACAGCTTTTTGAAATCGTCAATACAATGGAATGGCCTGACTAGTCCTCAGAGATCTTTCTGACTTTCAAAATTCCATAAAATGTTTGATTTTGTCATTTATATTCCTAAATCATTCATGCGAATTACCATTCTATCCGATAAGTGTACATTTTACAGGCTTCACCACTTCATCTTGATCCATCTTCAATATATTCTTGAACCTACTTTTGTGCTCCATCAGGGGACATGTTTCAGATGACAGACAATTTCTGAGCATCACGTATTTGTAATTTTATGTGCTTCAATAGATTGAGGTGTGGCTACAAACCTTTTCTCCGGGGACTTACACGCCAATACATCGGCATTCTTGTGAAGAAATTTTTGTTGTCCTCAAAGGGAGTGGTACTCTTTATCTTGCCTCAGATTCTCATGGAATGTACCCCGGAACACCTCAAGAGTTCTCTATCTTTTCAAACAGCACGTTTCACATCCCAATTAATGATGCTCACCAGGTAAAGATTCCCAATTTTCCTCAATTTTGCTAATATGTGGAGTTCTTGGCCGATTATATATGCTCTTTCTTGAGGTGTCTTCCGAGAGAATTTGCGAGTTTTAAATAGGGTATTAGGGGTCTCATGCTGTCGAGCGCATCCCTCCATAACATAACGAGGACCAGAATTAGCTTTGTAATCTGATTCATTCAATAAAAGGACTAAAGATACTACTACCACTCACCTATTTAGGAGGTTGTCTCAGATTAGTTTGTGTGATGTGGCAGCTAAAGAAAGTGTGCTTGCATCCTCTTTTTTCTTTTTTTGAGGAGGAGAGGAGGGTTTTTTTTTTGGGAGGGGGGGGGGCATTGTGTGAGGGGAGAGGGGATGTTTCATTTCAGGCAATTTGGAAGGCAGGTGAAGCGCTGGTTCAATGTCTTTATTCTTTCTATGGAAGGAATAGGTCAAGGTGGTTGCTATTTGAGATTGTAATGTCATGCTTTTCATCTTAATATCTTTTTTTTTTAATAATGTTAGCAGTTTTCTTTTGCATTTGATAGGCACTTCCAACGTTATGTCAAACTTCAAGTATTCTAGACTTGGTTATATATTTGCAGGTATGGAATACAAACGAACATGAGGATTTGCAATTTCTTGTCATCATATCTCGTCCACCAGTTAAAGTGTAAGCAAATTATCTTTCTTTGCTGTGGCATATCTTTTCTTATTGTTTATTCTCTATTTGTATTCTTTTCACACTATTGGCTTTACAGCATCTTGGCCTTACTGGCTTTTCTTTTTTGGCCTGTTAATTGCCTAATAAATCTCTGTGATAGAGTTCGGGTGTACATTGGTTTAGATATCTTCCTTTTCTCATAACATTATCAAGTTCATGGCGGTTCCTCACCCGAATGCAAGTTTAGTTCTTCCTGCTAAACTTTTACTGAAGGATTTTGAGAGATTTGAGTTAAGAGTTGACATAGAGACTTCGGTCCTATTTGTGGTAGAAGTTATTGTTGACAGGGTTCGAGATTGAGAGAAAGGCCAACTCTTAATGCCATTGATATGGTTGGCACTGAGAGAAAAGAATATATTAGAAAGAATCAAAACAAGTGCAGAGCTGCTTAGGCCCTCGAAAGTGTAGTGATAGAAATGCATGGACCTGATGACCATCTTCCACTAAGAATGAATTTATTGCTGTGAGTGGCAGGGCCTAATTGAATTTGCAAAATATTGTTATATATTTTGACCTCGCTGGGACATTTTAGAATCCCACGTTTACTATCTTACACTGCTTTGGCAGAGATGATGCCAGATGTAATGCAATATTTGGTAAACATCTAGCTTGGACTAGATTTTCTTTTGTGTGATGATTCTAGATATATGATGCATTTTCGAATACTTGGTTGCTCACTGAAGAAAATACTGTAGATGCTCTGCAAGTTCTATGAAAATTGACGGTTGTCATTACAGTATGGATGAAAATTTCATTTTCACTCTCAAAGAAATCCTTTTTGGAATTTCCCTTTGCTGTTCCTGAGCCTCATCACATTCCGTCGGTCTTTCATCCTTTTACTTAACAAACTAAACTTATATTGAGTGGCCTTGATTTTTCAGGTTCATATATGAAGACTGGTTCATGCCTCATACTGCTGCAAAACTGAAGTATCCTTACTACTGGGATGAGGAATGTCTCAAAGTTTCTAGAAAGGATGAGCTTTGATGTCCTTGCATTCTTGCCGCTTTCTGACTGGTACTGTCCCATGGTGTGTTAAGGGGATATATATGAGGGATGGATGGAACTTGGAAATGCATTGTGTCCTCGTCCGATAACAAAACTTAGCCAGGCCTGTAATCTGCAACCAAATCTACCCCGATGTTCAGTCTGTCTGTTTGAATAATCTGATTGCATATAGAGGAGCCATCTTTCGGTTCATCTTCATCTACTGTCCGGAGACAGCGATACATTTTTAGTGCATCTGAAGTTCACAAAGTAAACCTTTCAGATATTTTGAACTTCGTGTTAGGAGGTGTGGATCATCACTGCGAAATTTGAGCCTGAATAGCAGAAAGATTGAGCATTACTCTTTTTTAGGGGCTAAACATGAATTACTTCATTAAGTTGCACATTTTCATGCATATGGTTGATCGACCATAGCAAAAACTTAAACTATGAGAAGCACATAACTGAGTAACGTCAACCATGAGTCTGGAAGTTGATATATATGAGAAATCTGATGTAGCTTATACACTTGATGATTCAGAAACTCACGTATGCATAGGCATTAACTATCATGGACCATAAGATCTTCCTATTTAACACTGGCTCAATAACGTTATAAGACTAGTCAGGCACGCCATGCTAACAGAAAGAACAACCTCCCCAGCCAAATTGAATGCACTAAGACTAGTCAGGTAAAGTAATTCGTCCCCACGGATACATTGGTGGAACAAGTGTTATAGAATTGCATTCCCGGAGGTTTTACATGGCATATACCGTTCTAATCATACAACTCAATTGAATATCAAGAATGATATAAGACGTCACTCTCCAAGGACTCACCCGAATAGCCAACTGGTTTTGCTTTCCCTATATCAACTGATAAAACACTCTACAGCATGGTAGAATGTTTAAACATGTCGCTGTTTGCTTCTGTCCGGGAAAGTTCCTCAGCCGTCAGTTGACTGAATAAAAGCCCAACCATGACTGAGTCCGACATCATCATCTGGAACTCCAACATTTAAATGCCATTTTGATGGCACGAGAAGTTTTTCGACAACAAACACTTTTAACGGGACGGAGGGAACGGCAACAAGTGCTCATGATTGGACAATGGTTGGACTCAAACTTCCTTTTGTTTTCATCTTCACCTTCCTCGTGTCTGCAACCATTGATGCTTCTCCGTGCTCAAGTCGAGGTCTGCTTCTGCACTTTTGCCACAACTGCAGGTGCACTCTTCTCTTGCTTTTTGCGCACTCCTTTGCACTTCAGAATCAACGCGGTCGGTCTCACCTGAAATGAAAAAGAATAGACTTCTATTTACGTACTTGGGGCATCATTTGGATCGGCAAAGTGAGAGTGTTAAGAAATGTATTTGATAAGATTCATAGGATTGTTAAGCATCTTGCTAGGTGCAGCCCAAAGGCAAAGAAAGTCTCTTTCAAAGTCCTTTTCCTTCTACCTTCGTCAAAATGCTGCATGTGGCATTGTCATTCGTCTTCATTTTTCTGATTCTTTGTAATTAGTATCTCGCCGGCAAATTCAGACCCAAATTTAACGATTTACCCACTGTGAGAAGATAGTGACATTCGGTTTCTGGTGTGAGTTTACCACTAGTGAGGAAAATCAGTGAGCTACGACAAGATAACTATGGATTAGGAGGTTTTTCTCACATAACGGAGGAAGGCTCGTTCTTGCACGGGATGAATGAGGTGCGTCTTTTTTTGCTTTCAACAAAGTTTCAGAGCATCATATGTTTGTCATTTTTAATGTATCAACAGGTTGATGTACGGCTACATACCTATTCTCCCGTGGCTCGCACGCCAATTCACCCACATTCCTGTGAAGATGTGTCTGGTCCTCAAAGGGAACAGTACTCTTTATCTCGCCTTGACTTCTCATAAGAAGAACCCGGGAACACCTCAGGAGTTCCACATCTTTCCGAACAGCACGTTTCATATCCCTTTTGACGATGCTCATCAGGTAATGGTTCTTGTAGCGCCCTACAATTTCGGTAATATCCAGAGTTGTTGACCAATGATCATGATTCCTTTTCTGGGGAGCCTTAGATACAGTATAAGGTTCAGACAACTCATCTTTGCAAGAATTTGACATGTTTAGCAATTCTTTCTGTGGGCTTGATTGCACTTCCTTTAAGGATTTCATATCAGTCGTCTAGCATTCTCGAACTTTAGCAGCACACTTGCAGGAATGGGATACAAAAGATACAAGGATTTCCAAGTTACTGTCATCATATCTCGTCTGCCAAGGAAACTGTAAGCATATTTACTTCCTATTTGCCTGCATTATTTGATTCTTATCATTAATCCAACATACATACATTTTCTTTATGGTTTTCTCGATTTTTTGTCGGCGATGCTGTTTTATTTATCACTTTAATTTTCCCTTTCAATTTGTCAATTGAGTCTCTGGGATAAGGTAAACTGCATCCCAGAAACTCGGGTTGCCTGTAGTTGACATTTGTAGGCAGAAGTCAGTGTTTACGGGGTGATGGAGGTCAAGAGAATCGGCTGGATCTGCATACAATCATGTGCACACTCCTGCACAAACCTACAGCTAAGTATACAGGACGGAGGAAAAAACCCGGAATACCACTTCAGCTCTCAAAACTATAGGGAAATAAATCTGCAGAAAATCCGGATACACCTCGTAACCATCTTCAATTGAGATACAACTCATTGTACTGATTGCGAGCCGCACTTGACCCTTTAGCTGTCATTTTCTGTATTTTCTGGTGGTGAGAAGTTTATTCCTGCTAAGTGCTATGCTCTCACCAGTGATTGATTGTGTTTACAAATCTTTCTGGAGACATGATCCTAGATGTATCGGCAGATTTGGCGAACTATCAAAACTTGAACTGGCTTTTGTCTTCTTGATGTCTATAGACATGATCGATTTATCCTGCCTGTACAAGTTCTTCAGAACATCACAGCTCTCTCTGCATACGAGGATAAAAAGTTTCCCTCCTGTATTTCATTTATTAGAGTCAACTGGCCGCTAAACTGAATCATCCTAGCTTCTGGGACCAGGAGTGTTTACAAGAATCTAGCAAGGACAATCTTTAATGTCCATACTCATGCGATAGACAACTCTTGATTTTCACATCAATGGGAAAATAAGAGGGAGAATTTGTAAATCTAATGGTAGCAACCAAAACTATACTGATGATCAGAACTGTTCTCTTCGGTGATTGCGCATAGAAGAACTATATCTGGATATCCTCAGACATCATCTTCACTTGTCCAGATTGATTTCTTTTTTTTTTGTTTTGTTTTGTTGTCACTCAACAAATAGCTGGCTCGAATTAATAAACACCACAGCAGTCCAAGACAATGAATGAAAGTGAAAACTCCAATGAAGAAATTGAAGTGCCATTTCTAGATTTATCTTTTTCCATCAAAGGTTTTTAATTTTCTTAGGAATTTGCAGATTATTCCAATTTGAAATAGCAACGGCAATTCAACATCCAAATATCCAAATTTTGGTTTTGACATTAAAAGGGAAACAGTAAAAAGAAGCTTGCTCGCCTCTGATTCAGCATACTGGCAGCAAGAAATCAATGAGCAAAATCACTGTGTATGATACACAATTAATTATCACAGGGAAAACAAACCCAATTCCTATCATCTTACAATGCTTCCATTAGACATATTTTTCCACCCTTGAAAACTTCATTGACTTACCCAATTCGCTTTCCAGGCAACGTTAGAAACATCTAAAGCATTGAACTGCCACCTAGTTACCCCTTGTTTTTTTTCTGGCTCCGCCGTTCAGCCTCCCTTTCTGCGACCAACACACAGAACTCCGATCCTAGCATTTCATGTGTGTCCATGTTCTGGGAGACACCCAGATTGACTACTTCCATGACCACTTCTATCGTGACAATAAATCCTAACATAGATAAGACACGTATGGCATTTGCCATTCTGCATATGTTCTGCCTTGTCTCCAATGGGGTGTGTGTATGCTCTTTCCCCTCAAGACTCATGGAGTAATAGTCTGCTTTAGAAGTTTGAGATTCGGATTTGTCTGCTTGATCCACCAGCATTTCTTCTTTAATTTCCACGTGTTCGCCGACCCAGATGAATCCATTGCAACCGAGTATCAGGTCAATCCCGTACTCTTCTAGGTAATGCCAGTGCTGCTTTCGTCTCTTTACAAGATAAGGAGGGATTGAGAGAAGTTGTCCCCGCTGAAGCTGTAAATGTACAATTGAGACGGTTACGACAATGGGAACAAGACCCCAGTGTGTTCTAGCAACAGCATAAAGAAATGATGCACAATGTGCAAGACCAAATGCATGAAGATGAGCATACTAACATAAACTGCATTTTAGCAGCTCAGGTGCAACCTTCAATCAATCAGCGCATTCACAAAGAATACATAAAAACACTTTCTTATATAGATAATATCATCCTTAGCATGTTTCCCAATCCCCTCAATTTATTCCCTTTGCAAAAGTCCAAGCACTAAAATCAGTCTTTCCCTTGACACTATTTAAGTGGAATAATAGAAAAGCAGAAGAAAGAAAGAAGAGAATTAAAGAATAAGAATTCAACAGATAACCCCAGTAAAAGGCTTTGTATTCTCTAGATGTAGGTTTACGAAAACGTAAATATTCAGGCCTCTGCATCTAAAGCACATAATGCAAACCTTTCCATATTTCTGACTTCTTGCTTGGAGGTGCAGACCATCATGCTGAAAGCCACGAACTTCAGCCTGAAAGGGAAAGAAAAAAATCCTTACATACAGCTGAAGACCTGTTAGTCAATTCAAAGACCTAGATCACCATTGTAAGAGCCACAAAGATAGGAATTTTGACCTACACATATGACATCTTTCTCTTCAAAAATACTGCGCATGTTAAGCTCATCCTCTGCAGTTCGCCGCCTCTAGTAATCAAAGCAGGAAAAAACAAAAAGAGAAAGTTGAACAATGAGCTTTAAAAGTTTTGCTATATGAAACATTTGAGGTAGCTTATCTACTTCATGATTCCAAGAAATATGCATGCAGCATGGTTGCAAAGGATCCTAAAATATGGTAGACGCTTAATAATACGATATGACTGATAAGTATTAGCAAAACTGCAAGTGGGGAATCGAAAGAAAATCCTTCTAAGCCAAATTGCACGCACTAGAATCACTATCATACCAACCATTAGAATTATGATGTCCCCTAAGAATCTCTACATAAGCCCCACATCAATCAAGTTGTATCTGCCAATCAGACAATTATTGAGCCTCAGAAATGATTAGAAGACCTCACTGTCCAAGGACAAAGAAAAAGATTTTTCTTTGCACAGTGCATAATCATGTATTCCTCAAAAACAGATATTAAAAGCTATGGTATAACATATGCACATTCCAAGTTTATGGTAGAGTTGGCAACACGTATGGAACATTCTCTATAGAGCAGCTTTTTCCTTAGTATGTTGACTTTTCCGTTTCAAGGATATTCCAAGCATTGTAAGATTTATTGAATAATATAAAGACTACAGAACTAGTAGCTCTCATCATTGTCATTCTCAATCTGTGTGATAACTACTAATACAGGAAAAAAGGCGAACAACAGAAAACATAGAGAAGCTGAAAGACTGCATACCACCTGTGAAAACATACAAAAGTCAAAGCATCTAAAAGAAAAACAAAGGAAAAACAAAATGCTACATAGGTACCTGAATTCCATCAGGCAAATTAATAGAAGAAAGCATTAACACAGCATCTTGACTATAATTTACATCCAGTCGCCAACGCTTCGGAGCTACCTGAAACATTTAAACTGGGAAAATTGTGAAAAAATTTCACACATTAAGTCCTAAAGTTAAGACGATGTTACGATAAGATATATAAACAGCATATGCAGGTTTTCACATATTTTCAGCAGATATGGAAGAGAATCATCGCAGCCTGGCAAATTGTCAACAGCAAGAGGTCACTAACAAGAGAATTTGCATTTTCACTACAAAGTAACAAAGAGATATTGAATATTGGATGATATGGATATCGAACTTCATTTATCTTATGATCAAGAGAGCCCTTTGCCAGCAAGCTAAATAAATCAACTTTACATTTTTTATCAAGCATATGCAATTATCTACATCCATCTTCTGCCATCATATACTGAGGAATAATATCCTATACTATTTTGCAGGTAAGCTTTATAAAACAGAAACAGATAGTGGTAATTGTCTATGAAATGGAAAAATGAAATAAAGCATGTGCGGTCGAGCTTATGTTGACATTCACATGCACACGTATTGATATGTGTTATTGAAATAATGTTCAAATACACTGAAGTTCATTTGATTATTCGTATGCACCAACTGATTGTGAAATTGCAAAAAGTATTTCACCTCAATAACACGTCCAACAATGATGTCTCCAACCTCTGGCTTGTATCTACACTTATTGTGATGTTAAGGGAAGAAGAAGGAGACTCGTATCAGAAGGTCTCTAATGAAAATAAGAAAAGCAACAACTGGCGTTTCTTCTCGTCCAGAAAAAAAATCTGACATTGTGCTACCTGGCTCGCAGAGTACGAACATAGACCAGCTTGTTGACTCGCTCAACTACTCCACATACCGTAGCAACAACTTCGCCATTAAGCTCGGTTGTTCCATGGCCCCTTGTTTTCAACACAACAAACACAGCCAGAATGAAAAAAGGATGTAAAGAAAGACACTTAATCATGCATGTACTTGCAAAGGTATCTCTACAATATGCTGAGACCGGTTTCAAAACTTGTAGCGCCGAGCCCTTCTTAAAAGTAGGCGAACTTAGCAAAACTGGAACATATAGGAACAAATATCGTACACAAAATTATGTTTTAAGCACAATCACTTATGAGGCACACTAATATAAAAACTGAATCAGGTCAGCATCAGTACTTGAGAAAGCCGTCATCATGGTTGACAGGAATCGTGTCGGCGACGGTGACGGAGGCATTGGAGTTGGCCTTCGACGACAAAGCCTCGAGCTTTTCGAGTGCCCTCTGCAGCCTCACCTTCTGGGTCTGAGTCAGTGGGAGCTGCAACCCTCTCATCTCTCACCTTTTTCCTCCCCCCCTCCTCCCTCCCGCACCACCGGCCGGAGCCTCCTCGTCCGCCTTATCTTGCTTTTCTAGTTTCGAACAACCGAAACAAAATTCGCCCGATTGAACCCGGAACAGGAACGTCACGAAAAATCAGTATCACCAATGCGTTGCAGAATATCAGAGAATCACCAAATATAATTCAGCACAAAGGGAGCCGAAAGAAGAGAGCATCGCGGGCTAAAGAGCTTGAACAGGAACAAACGATGGAGCAAAAATGACGCGAAGCTACGGAAGAACGAACTCCGATTCGCACGTATAAGGGAGAAGCGACATCTTCGTGCACAGCCATGAACAGAGCAACAGAGCCAAAAGAGGCTGAACGAAGTAGCGTCCCGGGACGGAGATCGCGAGGCTTGAGCGGGGGTGGACTCACCTGGGCGAGCGACGACTCCTGGCGGCGGCGGCGGCGGCGGCGGCGGCGGCGGCGGCGGAGAGTTTGATCCTCAGGTTCGACGGTGGAGACGGAAGAGGTCGGAGCGATTTGAGGTTTTAGGGGTTTAAAAGTTCGCATTCGATCCGTTCCGGGTCCTTCGTTTTGGTATCGGGCCGGATCCGGACTTCGGGTTCGGGCTTTAGAAGCCCGCACCCGACCCAAGTAATTTTGGATTAACAAACGTAATTTGAAAATTAGTAAGTAATTCTCTCGATTTTCTTAATCAAGTAAGCCCTGGAAGAACTCGAAAAATGAAAGATTAACACACGCAAAAAAGAAATTAAAAAATAAAATATGGTGCGAGGTGTATAAGTTTTTCATCATTTCTTTTTCAAATTTTTATTTCCGAATCCGAATAAGTAGACCCAAGCTAACGAACTAGTTTTTTTCTTAGAAAAATCCCCGAACAAATGCGCCTTAAAATAACATTTTGAAAACCGAGATTAACCCGTTTGACGATAATGTTTCATTTTCTTTTGGGCGAAGAAGTGGGCTAAGATTTACTTAGGGTGCGCATGAATACCATTCTGCGTCTTGGGACTATTTCCAATGAAATGATTTTTTTTTATTCTGTACCCGGAAACAATTTCGAGTATTTGAAGGCGTTTGATAAACCTGTCCAAAATTTCTATTCCTAGAGTAGAAAAGAACAAAATGCGTTTGGTAACTACACAAAATTTCTGTTCCCAAATAATATTTTAATAATATTTTAAATTGTTTAATTTTTTTCTTTTTATCCATTTTCTTCTTTGGCCATGGCCGGTCGCCGGCGACCGGCCACGCCCGAGGCGACGAGGCGTCACGGCTCTTGCCGGCCGGCAGCGGAGGCGAGGTCGCCTCGCCGGCGAGGTCGCCCGCCGCGAGGGCGAGGCGGACCCTCGCCGTCGCGGCCAACGCGAGGCTCGGCCTCGCTCGATCCGGGTGAGGCCGCCTCGCCCGGGCGAGGGCGACCCTCGCCTCCGCTGCGGCGGCGGCGAGGGCCGTGACGCCTCGCCGGCCTTCGGGCTTGGCCGTCGCCGGCCGGCCGGCCACGGGGAAGAACAACACCACAAAATAAGAAAAGAAAAAAAAGAAAAAAAATGATTCTCAAAATTGTGAGAAACAAGAAGCAACTTTTTTCTTCTTGTTTCTCTTCCAAAATGTTTCTCGGCACAAATTTTTTCAAAAATGTGCCAGAACAAAAAGTTTACAAACACATTTACGTTCCCAAACTATTTCTAGGAACAAAAGAACGAAATTTTATTATTTGGCACGTTACCAAACGGCCCTTATTCTTAGGCAATGAAGAGTATTTCAAGGCCAGAGGCGGACCTAAAGGGTGGGCCAACGAGTGTCATCGTCTCCTCTAACCGCTTCGTCTTTAGCACATAATTCCCGTACTTTTTCTAAAGTGTTTCATGAAATTTCTCGTAACATTTATTATCTCGAAAACTATGTATACTACTCATCTTTCTGCTCATGGACATCTTTTGTACTTCTTTTGCGATATATCTCGAAAACTATGTATACTACGATCAAATTCAATAAATAACCTCGCTTTTTAGAAATTTTATGTGCAACCGTTTGAAAAAAGAGGGGCCCCGTGATTCTTCCAAAGGCCCGACCAACTCAGCTAACTGATAAATGTCGTTTGGGTGCTTTTGCGCAACCCTCCTCTACCTTTTGCCACTATTGCAAATTTAACACGAATTTTCAAATGCTCCCAAGAAAAAAACGCATGACTTTTTACCATCGTTTTAACATTCAAATTCAACATGATCTTTTAAACGTCCTAAAAAAAGGCACAAATTTTTTGCCATTGTTTTAGCATCCGTTGGTATGCTGTTTGTTCTCGCCGTAATCTCCTCACGTGTTAGACAACGTTGCTCTTATTGTGTTGATTTTCAAAAGCAACGATGTGAACCCCTTCAATATCTATAGGAAGATATGCCTAAGATAGGGCAGAATTGTTCAGATTATAATTGATACATTTAATCAATCCGGGATTGTAACTGATTGATAGAATCAATCTATGATTAGAATCAATATATTCTTTCCTTTTGTTACTCACATTTTGTACTATATATTGAATATTGTAAATGGAGAATATACAAGCAGAAGTGCAAAGTATACAAGATTTTTATTCAGTTTCCTCTTCTTCAATTTGTGTTATGGTATCAGAGTAACTATTCCTGGCCTAGCTTCCACATATTTTTTATTGCCATCTAGATAATTTTGCACCTTCATTGTTGTGAGAAACACTAGCCTACAATACAAGGTTAGCACTCCGGCGTTGGAATCAATATTTGAACATCCTCAAGCAAAGGAAGTCAATTTTTTTTCTTACCAATACCATACCTAAAAACCACTCATTAGCTTATGAGGAATGGACTCCAGAGGAGACAACCCTGCGGGAAAATACATCAGTCCAAGAACCTACCTTGGACCCACTTGCTGAAGTCGTGAATCGGGAGCAACATGTCCAAGCCCAGCCAAATCAGGGGCAGCCCATCCCGGGTCAGCCCATTTTAGGCCAGCCCGCTGCGAGCTAGTACATCCAGTGGCTGCCTGTCCAGGTACCACCCAACCCATGATTCTATATGCCAGCACAAACCGCTCCATGGCCAGCAAATTAAGGCCACGGAGAACAACCCAACCCAATGGAGGCCCACCAACCATATTTGGGGCAAGCATAGCCACTGGGCCGAGATTTTTCCATGCGGGTCAAGCACCCGATCCTGGTACTTCGGGTTTGGGAGCAAATCCTTACTCAGTTCCCCAACCTGGGTTTCTACCATACCATATCGTTGTCGTCAATGGTTGCCTGGAGCCTAGCAAACCACTATACACATCGACGGCCGACGGGTCAGAGCTACAGCTCATTACCCAACATTTATCTGGCCTCGACAACTACTCAACTTGGTTGCAGGAGTTCCGGCGGCTACTGGTCACCAAGGATAAAAATGGATTTCTTGACGAGACTATTCCGATTCCATCCGACGAGCGTCTGACACAACATTTGAGAAAATGCAATCAACTTGTTTGAACGTGGATCGGAAATTGCATCACTCTCAAAGTCACGACCGGACTTCCCCCGAAGGAGGACTCAAGAAAAATGTGAGAAAATATCAAGAAAATGTATGGGAAACTCGATAGGGTCAGATTTTTTCACTAACTCAAGCACTCTCGAAGTTAAAACAAGGAAACATGACCATCGCCACATGTTTCAACAAACTCTCAACCCTCTCAAACGAACTAGAGGTGGCCAAGGAGAAACTTGAAGGGCAAGAATCAACTCTAGAGCAGTATCGGACCATAAAGAAGAGTGAAAAGGTAATGAGATTCCTCCTAATTTTGAACGAATTATACTTGTGTTTCGGTCCCAGATCTTGGCCATGAATCCCATGCCAATGCATGGCCGGATCTACTGGCTCGTCGTCTAGGAGGAGAGCCAATGCCTCGCCTCGTCGAGATACATCAAGGTCAAGGATGTGATTGTGCTTGCAGCTCAGGCAAACGCTCTATAGAAAGGAGCAATGGGCAGAGAACGGAGAGAGGTGAGGGGCGACACTAAGGTTTCTAGAGGAGGACTCGCGAGGCTTCAAGAAAGGTGAAATGGACAGCCCGAATGTGATGATGCGATAGGACAACTTGTGAGCAATTTTTTCATCATCTGGATCGGATAGCTCTCACGAAGCCATGGCGGGCCCCGTCTTCAAGCCATCCAATGGCTCATCTTCTACCATGTCATCAAAGAACAATGGGCAAAATTATAAAGGGAAAGGAAAATTATATTGCAATTATTGCCAACGTTTGCACCACACGATTGAAACTTGCTGGAAATTGCATGGCAAGCTCTGAGAAAAAGGAAAAAAGGAATTTTTGGTGGCTTATCAGGTCACTGGTCAAAACTGTCACGCCCTGGACCCCAACAGGCTCGCGACACCCCTTCAACGGTCGTATTGAACGCGACGTCCCAGACGCGCGCCACCCAAACGAAACACCCAACGATAAAGGCAAGCGGAGCGAATTTGAAACAACCTGCATAATAAAATATGACAAAGGGATAGCACAAGCACAAATCAACAAGTGCATGTTATAAACCGATATACTTACAACATTAAATCTAGGTTACTAGCTTCAAGGCCACATTTAACAAAAAGAGGGCGACGGTTGGGTGGCCTACTTCACTATACACAAAAGGGGGTATCCAAAGATGAACGGGCATCAAATGCCCAAGTACTCTGGTCTCCGGACCGCACGCGACGACTAACCGTCATTTCCAAAACCTGAAAATGTTTAACAACGGGAATGAGATAAATCTCAATAAGCATTCCCTAAATCCCGCATAGGCCAAAGCGTACCAGACGAGTTCGAATGCAATCTACCCGATTACATATATATAATTCACATAAATGGACTTACCTCGCCATCCAATCACATGCCCACACCGCACCTTAGTCAAATCATAATAATGCAATAATAGTCAATGAACACATCAAAATCATTCGAGCGCCATACACACGTTCGTTCATCCAATTCAACCCAAACACATTTCACATGCGCATCCATCAAACTTTCACACGACCCGGTCAACACCCCACAGTCGCCCTCCGATCAATCCGGCTCTGTCCCGGTCAACACCCCACAGGACCTTTCACAAACAAACTTTCACACGACCCGGTCAACACCCAGTGCCGCCCTCCGATCAATCCGGCTCGTCCCGGTCAACACCCCACGGGACCTTTCAAAAACAAACTTTCACACGACCGGTCAACACTCCACGTCGCCCTCCGATCAATCCGGCTCGTCCCGGTCAACACCCCACGGGACCTTTCACAAACAAACTTTCACACGACCCGGTCAACACCCCACAGTCGCCCTCCGATCAATCCGGCTCGTCCCGAGTCAACACCCCACGGACCTTTCACAAACAAACTTTCACACGACCCGGTCAACACCCCACAGTCCTTTCTCACAACCCGGTCAACACCCTCGGGGCGACCCTCCGATCGATCCGGCTTGGTCAAGTAAATACATACGCCACATAATTCAATCAATTACCATGTCAATCACAT